AGTTTTACATTTGTAGGTATCGGCATGGATAATTTTAAATGCCAAAATTAGTGAGTTATTGAGTTGGCTGTGTTCACGAGGAATAGAGGCTTAGAATGTTTCTATCATGGGGGAGGTGGTGGTTCCAGTTTTATACGGCTGAATATATGGGGAAGAATTTATGTTTACCACATTTGACCTAGAAGTTTACTAATTAGAAAAGCTCTCTCACCGTCAGAGCCTTTATCGGCAGCAAACATGGAAAATCTTTAAGAATATAAAATAAAGTATTATTCTCTTATCTCAAGACAGGCAACAACAGAAAACCATCATTAGTAAGCCGACGTAAATTGGAATAACCCCTGTAGAACTCCTCCTTACAAATTATCAATCAGTACAACCGTGCTACGCAGTAAGCGGTGACTTAAGCTGATGCAATTGCTCCAGGAAAGTACGCTGTAATCCGAAGGGTGGAAGTCATCGAACTCCCCGGCCAAACTGTCATGTGTAAAGGCAAAGATGAATAGTAAATAATGAATAATAGGTGTACTAAACCTGGCATAAGTTTTTGTCAGCATAACTTAAAGGTTCTTCTGGTTTCGAGTGACTCATAGCTCGTCATTATAACGAAGCTTTCAATCTGAATGCATAATGAACGGCAGTGTGGCTATCACCTAAAGATTTTTAAATCTGAATATATAACAGACATAATCAAATTTAAAATCTTCTTTACTCTCACTAATATGCATCCTTATAACTTTATTTGATTTGATTCTACTTGCAAAGCAAGGCAAGTGAGGCTGTCAATGAGCTTATCGGATGACAAGAACGCCCTTCGCTTTTTGACGGTTAGTGCAATTGCAACCCATGAGTAATCCGCTTCTATCGTAATTACTAGTACAAACTAAAATACGTACACTGCGTGTCCTGGTGGCATGACTGATGAGGATAGAATATATTATTCCTGAGTTCGGTGTGAAAAACCCCGCAGACGATGGCGCAGGGACTAGCGAGGGATGATCGAAAATATGCTTCCGGGGGACGAAAAAGCTGGTTTATACGGTTGATGGTAACCAATAAGCTTCCTACGTTACTGTCGGCAACCTTGCATGATTTTAAAAACAAGAAGTGGGTCTTTTCTTGCACGATGGTATTCAATAAAAAGCATTTTGTCAGCGCTATTCACGGCTATATCAGGCCAGTTGCCTTCGAAATCGGTAAATAAAATACGGACGTTAATCATCCGAACCATGACCTAAAATACACAGAGTTCCCGTGGGAGATCACCGCGTATGAACGGGCGCACCATGTGTTTATTAAAATAACCTTTTGTAACTCAATGAATTGTTGTATTTAGGACAGTCTCCGAACTGGACTATGCTACTCGAATTTGCATAGCCCTTTATGCAAGTTTAAGTAGTGAGGCCGAAAAAAATTGGGAGTTTTTTCTTTCATAAAAACCGAGTTTCAGATGATATTTTGCATACGCTCCAGTTGCTGCTTTATTTCGTTTTATCAACAGGAATCCCTTGCAAAGAGAGCAATGACTCGAGGCTTCTCATGCTATTCGACAGCAAGGCTTTTGTTTCAAAAAACTCAGATTTTCAGACCTATTAGATTACTCGATAAACAAAATGCTGTCTCATTAGATAGTGAAATGAAATGAAATCGTTCCGTTGGTTTGGTTTCAGAAGAAATGACTAAACCACACTCATATAACGCACTGCTTGTAATGTTTTGGACATTCAAAACCCGCATTGTTTTCATATCAAAATATTATCCGAATTTCAAATTCGTGTTTTTACACTATGACGCTTCTAAAATAAACGGCTTAGTACGAGGCAAGATATTCGGTGAACCCCTGATTACCTACCTTTCGAGTAGACTATAAAAACGCGACCGTTTAGTGTTTAGACGGAAGCATATGTCGGCTAGAAGTGAGTTTTGTGAAGTTCAACTATCACACTGGACTCAGGAAATGACCTCAGTTAGTTTTATCTCCAAATTACTGAATTTTTTGAACCCAAAAACGGAAATAATTTGGACTCCCAGAAAGCTATAGTTGTTACTTTATTGCTTAAAAATGTGGGCATTGCAACCTAGGTCTTTCAAATAATTCTGCCTCCTGACACCTAGTGAGGCAAACTGTAAGAATTCGATAGCATGCTGCGTTTTCGGGTTGCGTAAACTGCTGATTCCCCGTAGTCTTTTTCAGTAAACTGATATTACAGATTTCGGACCATACACAGTGTTCCTCCCACCTAACTTTACTCATAAACACCTAATATGCGTCACAGTTTATATAAAAATGATAGGCGTTCTGCTATGGGACAGCAAAAGGCGAGGCCTGCCGCCATGGGTCTCAAAGCTGTCGCGAACTTGCGTGCTATTGGGCACGCAATGTAGACCAAGTGCAAACCTTGCGGGACTGCTATTGGTCGCCAGTGATGTGTCCGTCCGCGTTCAGTAGGCCATCGTTGGGCGACCGCTAAGCGCCCTCCCATTGGTCAGTAGGCAAAATTCCCAATCGATTAGCCGGAGCTCTTTCAAAGTGTAATATATACGCCAAAGCACTCCGGCGACAACCTCACTACAGTTGCGCCTCTCCGGGTTTCGCTCTCCCACGCTTCGCCTTCAAGTGTTGCCAGACGAAAGATGGTAAGTGTCTACTTTCATCTAACTTTTTCTATGGTTTGCATTTATGCTGATGCCCTATCTTTTTTTATCGAAATAAATCTATTTCATAGTTGTGTTTGACTTTCTACTGGATTGCAGCCAACTTTTTGTTTACAGTAGGTTTTAACAATAGCAACTTTTAGGCCGCATTGTGTTAGGGCACGTAATTGCATTATAGAGGCTTTTTTGTATGTCTCATTCGCCTTTGGGGGAACCTGACAATCCGGTTTGTTAAGGTCCTTTGAAAATGGACAGCCGACCTAGCTCTTCGAAACTTCAGCGACAGGAGCAGTCTGTTCCGACGGACAAATACAGTTTCTCAGGACCTGACGATGATTCTTAAATTAGGTTGCCCAAAGACCAAGGCGTCCCTGCTTAGATCACTTAACGGGCATTAAGAAACCTTGCTTAGCAGATTTCATGGTAAACCTAACTCTTGC